ACCATGAATTCCTTAGGGTGGTGCCAGTCTCATCTTCTTAAACTTCCCACGCTCCTGTTGGTGGCTAAGGGAATGCTTATCTCCCCGAGCGCGGCCTTCATCCAACCATTCCTTCACCATATCTCAGTGACCAGCAAAAATCTGGACTGCCCACTCTCTACCTAGCATAAAGCCATAATTCCCAAATGTTGCTCATTCTTACTTCTCAAATTACACCCTTTTAATTAGAATTGTACCAAACATCTTCCCTGGCACATTTAACAAATTAATACACCTATAGTTTTTTTCACCCAATCTTGTTACCATTACCTTTGTATAAGGGAACAATAATAGTATTCTTCCAATTGTCAGGAAAAGATACCCGTATGCTAAAAAAGTTGCACAGCCACTCCAAAAGCAAATCATATGTTTTATTTCTTCTCCAGTTATACCATCTGTATGTGCAGCCTTTACATTTTTCAAATCTCAGAATTGTTGTATGACTCCATTTGCACTAATTTTTTTCTTGAACACTAACATTTATAGTATGGGTTTCAGCTCTATTTTTCAACATCATATGTATTCCCTTACAAATCTTTAAAAATGTCTCCTATATTCTTTCACTTCAGTTTTATCACTTTTATTTTTAATTTCATTCACTCTGGTAGAGGCTCCTTGCTTAGCCTTTTTCAGCCACTTACAAAATAATTTTTATTTCCATCAAAATTCCTATTTCCTGTGCCTCTTTTAAGCATTCCTTGCTTTGACTGAATTCTTTTCAACTAAAATTCTATACAATTCTAAATTCTATACAACTAAATAAAATTCTATACAACTAAATTCTATACAATTCTATACAATTCTAAATTCTATACAACTAAATAAAATTCTATACAACTAAAAATCTATACAATATATTTCTGTGTCCTAATTTTTTTGTAATAATCATAATTTTCAGTTCCTTAATTTCACTGATCAGTGTGCTAACTATTATCTGAAAAGAAAAACTCACAGAAAAAAAAATACTTAAGATGTTTTTCTACTGTTAATATAACGGATAAATTAATCATCCGTTAAGCAAGAAATCATTATCATTATAATTGCATTTAAAACCCACGTCCAAAAATTTAAAATAGAAATCTAAACCTGAGTTTCAGTCATAGAGATTCCCACTTTGTTGGGCACGGTGTCCCTGTGGACTTACCTCAGAACTGGGGGGGGGGGGGTACACACACACACACATACACACACTGTAGAAACTGCTTTAATCTTTTAAACAAAATATATTTGCTGTTTTCCAAATAGCTTTGCCATATAAAAACAGACCTAAAAAAATTATCTTGACATTTTAATGTATTTAATTTAATATAATAAGCATCTTTAGCTAAATGAAAACTAATCACTACTATTGAGGATAGCAAAATCTGAGCAGTAGCATACTGGTACTGAAATGTCAAATTACCAATAGTTTTAAATGCTATTCCTCAGTATTTATATTCCTGTACCTATCTCCTATTTTATTAACTTATTACTTTAAGTCATTTGCTAATAGATAGAAACTGCTACAAATCATTCTAGATAATGACTAAGAAGGCAAATTCTAGATATCTCAGAAGTAGAGAAATTCTTGACTCAAGCTCATTCTTCTGACTTTCCTTCTGAGTAGCATGTCTCAGGCACATGACAAGGAATCATTTTATTCTTTCTGCTGATAGCCATATTGGTGACTACAAAACCAGCTCTTAAAAAAAGATAGTATAAAATAAAACCATGAGCAAAAAATTTCATTGGGCAGTAAAAGGTGACAAAGACATTGTGCTTCATAGCATATCATTGGAATGAGAGTGAAAGTTATGAGGGAAGAGGATCCTTGTTCTTTTTTTCCACTAAAACAGGCAGGCAATTG